TCGTTCTTTGAGATTCGGAAGTATTCCAGATTGTCTTCGCTAGGATTATTTAGAGCTTTTAATTTAGCGGCTTTTCTTTTTTCACACATGTTTAAGCAATCTTCATCAAACCACGGTTTGTTATTCTTATTTTCCTTTTTTCCTAGACACGAGTTACCGACCGCTTTAATATTATCTCTGATCTCTATCCATAACTTGTCAATATCCTCGTGGTCCTCGTCAGGAAGCTCTAAAGCTTCAAACCTATTCTTAACATCTAGCTCGAATTGGTTTCTAATTGATGGATTTTTTAATTTTTCCAAATTAAAATTCTCAAAATCGAAACGGTTTTCTTTTCTCTTTTTTATATTAAGCTTTTGTCGAAGTTTCGCGATTACTAATTCATGATCCGACCCACATTCTGCTCCGCGATAAGACCGTACATTAATTATACTGCTTTGCCAGCTGTGTTGTATCAAGACATGATCGATTTGATTTCGTGTTTGCGAATCCGGTGATGTCCAAGTATATTTATGAATATCCTTATGTTTAAACGTCGTACTTTTAATTATCAGGTTTTTCGAGATGGCAAAGTTTATCAGACGGATCCCATTATCATTACTATATTCGTGCAAACTTTCTTTACCAATCGTCGGAATATAAACTTCTTCCCTTCCTACCTTTGCGTTCGCGTCACCTACAATTATTTTCATGTAGTTTCGTGGTAGTTTATCATAAACCCATTCGAGTTTATCGTAAAATTCACTTTTGACTTCATCGTCACTGTCTTCGGTCGGACAATGTATGTTTATTAATGCGATTTTAAACCAACGTCCCTGAAATGTAGCTACCGAAATTCTATCACTAAAGAATTGTACGTCCCTCAAAGCGGATAGTAATCTACGCCTAATTAGAAACCCGGTACCTAAACAATGATTCCCGCTTCCTCCGTACCAAATAGTGTACTTCCCTTCCCTCATCGAGCCCTCCCCTGGCCAGCGAACCTCTTGCAGAGCCACGACATCCAAATTGTACCCATTTACCTCAATCGCGACCGATTTTAGCCCCCTGCTGTGTTTAAACTCCTTACGTTCCACGTACCAATATTTAAATCCCTATATTTCAACTTGCGCCATGAATCCCCTAAAGCAGTCCCCACCCGGAGACCCGAACGGGGGACTAGTTTACCTCCGGATAATGAGCGTTTTACCTTAGGGAGATCCATGACTTTTTGTGGTGTTTGGTGAACTAAAGATATGTGAGTAGGGCGTTCAATCCTACGTCACACCCTCCAGCAAGTCTGGTGGGCCCCTACGTCCAGCAAGTCTGGAGGTCCCCTCCCTCCAGCAAGTCTGGAGGTCCCCTCCCTCCAGCAAGTCTGGAGGGCCCCTCTCATTGTTGGTCAGCGAGTCCATCGGACTTAGCCGGGAGGAACTTCCAAGGAATTTCCACCGACCATCCCCACATCCGCCACCCGTGGGACGCTCCCCATACGCGGTAATGAGCCCGCGCGAGGTTATGTTCGACGATGCAATTGTTAATTGATCCGTTGGATGCAAAAGTGGTATACGTCATTTTCATAATTAATACTTAATTAATTAATGAATCTATTAACTTCATTACTTTTAAATAGTGATGCTTGAGATATAGATAGATGCAAAGCCGGGTCTACGGGGAGGGCTTTCGGACTGAAGCCACCTCCCCCCCCCTCCTCAAATGGTAAAATATAACTATGTTTTATGAAAAGAATTATCTCTAAAAGTATTATTGTTCGTCTAATAACATTTAATGGAACTTAAAGAATCACTTAAACACCTTTTTGTTGTTAGTTTATTGCTTTCTTCCGAAGTAATTATCCTAATATATGCATACCAAAACAAAATATTTCGGGCTGAAGTCCCCCCTCCACCAAAATTAAATCCTGGATCCGTTAGTGGATAGATGCTAGTAGATATGTTTGAGACTATTTTTTTACAGAGAAATACATACTTATTATTATTCTATATCTTTGTAGAACTTACCACAAATTATTGAATATTTCCAAGCATCAATTTGGACATACATCACTTTTTCATTCAATGGTTCAATTTATTTTATTCTTTTATTTACATCGAAAATTATTTTTTAAAAATTATCAATATTAAATTTATTTTTTTATTTCTTAATGATATTTAAAACTGTATTAAATAAATACATCTAGTAAATTTGAACATATGGATATAATGACATGAATACACTTGCTGAGTAACTACCCAATGGTAGCACTCTAATGATATGACTACATTAGGAGATCACGGGGCCATCTTCTTTTCAGACGCCTCGGAGGGTTATCAGGAATTGAAGAGGAAGCAAGGTTAGAAACGAGAGGGTTGGGATGATTCTGAAGTTTATTATGGAAAGATAGGTATCTGGATTGGGCCAGATCTGAAACAAAAGAAACATTAACGTCATTGTGGATGGTTTTATTTGTAACAAGGTAGGGAGTATTGAGGATTTTGGTTTGTAAGGATTGGATACGAGAGGAATTCGATGGTTTAGTGGAGCCCCATAGCTCAACTCCGAATATTAAATTGAAAAAGAAAACATCGTTTTCAATAAAAAAAGGCGCAACAGTCATAACTAATCTTTTTACTAAAAATTATCTATAACTTCTATAAGTTCCGTTGATAAGCCTGGAATAACAGCTTAGCTTGAACCCAGACGACCTATATCACGCCAGACTACTACTATCGATATAAGTTAGTAATAATGCATAGAGGTAAGCAGTAGAAAGAGGTCGAATCCTTAACCAAATTTACATTTTGTTGTTATCTGGCCCAATCCAGATACATATTCTTCCATACTAATCTTCAGTAACATCCCAACCTTCTCGTTTCTAACCTTGTTTCATCTTTCCTGATAACATAACAAGGCGTCTGAAAAGAAGATGGCAGCGTGATCTCTTAAAGTCGACATATTAGAGTGCTACTAGTGGGTATTTTCTCAACAAGTGTTATCATTTCATCCTACTCATTCTTCACATTTAATAGATGTATATATTTTTTTCTTAATATAGTTTTTAATATCATGAATAAAACAAAAATCGTTTTGTTGTAATAGTTTTGAAGACCTTGCTGTTAAATTAATTACAATTATAAGATGGTTTAATTCCTGAAATAGTGCTCTGTATTTTATTTTTAAATGGCAGATTTAAGAATATTATTATTTCATATAAAAAATGCGTATTCAACAATTTATACATATATTAGTAGTAGCTTAATACATGTGCTAGTGGACGGTGCTGAGACTGTCGGTGTGTCCCTGGCCTGATCGAAGCTCTATTTTTTAAAATTCTAGCTTTGAAGAGGATCCCATCGTTGACTTATAAAAAGAAAATTCCGCGATCGAAACGTCAATAAACATAGAAGAAATGAACATTCAATAGTTTATTAAATTATTAATAAGTGACCTTATTCCCAATCAAATAGTTAAGTTTAAATTTAATACTCAAAGGTCGATTAAGGAAAAGTTGTAAAATATATATATATAAGTTTCTCAATGCCCTCTTGATTACTTCCGAGCACTAGCGGTTTCAGGATTTAATTTTGGGGAGCTTCAGCCCGAAAGATTTATTTTTCATATACATATAATGATAATTAATTTGAAAAACAGAGAAAGAAATTAACTACCTCTAAGAAATGGTGTTTAAGTGATTCTTGAAGTCCTATTAAATGTAATTAAACGAACAAGAATACTTTAAGAGATAGTTTTTAATATTTGTTTCTGTAAAACGTGGTTATATTTTACCATTTTGGAGAGGGGCTATATCCCGAAAGCCTCCCCCTCTCCCCCCCGTAGATCCGCCTCTGCTTCCGCGGATTAATAGACCCTCCCTCTTCCGCCAAAATGGTAAACTGTAATCATGTCTTATGAAAAATATTATCTCTAAAATTATTATTGTTCGTGTAATAAGACAATAATTACATTTAATAGGACTTCAAGAATCATTTAAACATCATTTCATAAAGGCAGTTTGTTTCTTTCTTTTTGTTTCAAATTAATTACCGCTAAAAAAAATCCTAAAATCCTAAAAAAAACCGCTAAATCCTGGATTCGCTAGTGGATATTAGGACTATATATGTCAATTTATATATATATATATATATATATATATATATATGCTCAATTAAAAGTAAGAAAAATTTGGTTTTATTGTTAAAATGTATGAAAACTTTAGATTGTTATACCAATGATAGGTATTGTTTTTCCAGAACTGAAGAGGATCCCATTATTTATGTTTAAAAAACAGGGATCGAAATGTTTTTGAATAAATGGAATAAACAGCAGTTGTCTATAATCATATAAGTGTATTTCATCCGACTATAATTCATATCTTGAGTAACATATATATGTAAATATAAAAAGCTTTCTGGCTGAAGTATTCCCAAAAGTTATCTTTTCGTTTGTTTGTTTTTTTATGCTATTTATTTTAATTTTATGAATTTTTATTAATTTAAATTCATATTTAAAGTAATTTGATGCATATAATTTGTAAAATTTATTAATGTATTACTTTAAATCATCGCAAAATTAAATTTTGGACTTGCTACTGGTTTCACACAAATATTTTTGTCTTGTTTTTTTCTTTTATGTTAATTTTATAAATTTTTATTAATTAAAATTCATATTTAAAGAGAGTTTTTGCGTGTGTAAAAATTTATAAATATATGACTCTTTCAAAATGTTACTTTCTTTTTACGACGTAATATATTTAAGAATAGAAATTAATGCGGAAATTTAATTTACATTTTTAAATAGGCTATTACCATTCGATACAATAAAATTACAATTTAAAATTTTATACAGCCTAGTTAAAATCACTTTCTCTGTCGTTGACGATATATATATATATATTAGTGTATAGTCTTTACGTACACAGTTAGTTAATGTACCGTATCGTATTGTGCTAATCGTGCTAAGTGAGGATAACATATAAGGGATAAGGAAGAGACTGGATAGTGAGTTCCCCACTCTGTTCTTAGGTGATGTGGATCCTTGAGGAACCCTATTCGGTGACTGTAGGCTATGCGGGCGCCATCCTAGCAGTCCTCTCAGTCGTTCTCATCAGGCTGTACCTTTCGTTCTCCTGCGGCGCATGTACCTCCAAGAAGGACATGAACGGCAAGACTGTCATCATCACCGGGGCCAATTCAGGTAACCTTTTATTAAAATACAGGTAATGATAAGAAAACAAAATGGTGTCCGGTCATGGCCGATGTTCCGTTAGTCTACCTCACTGGCTATCAAAGACATACCAACTTTATCTATTATACCACTTTAATAACAAATATGTTTGCATGCATACATTAACCAATTAGTTACTATGACAGAGATGAAAATAACTTAATTAAAAACTGGTTTATTTACTCGAAATTTTAACTTTGTAATATAGTATTCCATTATTAAATGTTGATTCTTTTTTTCTTTATTTTTGTTTTTTATTTCTTTATTGTTTTATATTACATTGTCACACAACTAAGGACATAAGTAACAGTGATATAATAGTTCATTCAACTAAGACATACCAACTTTACCTGTTATACCACTTTAATAACAAATATATTTGCATGCATACTTTAAATTTTAATTACTATGACAGAGATGAAAATAACTTAATTAAAAACTGGTTTATTTACCCCAAATTTTAACTTTTTAATATATTATTCCAGTATGAAATGTTGATTTTTTTTTCTTTATTTAATTTTACTACATTCTGTCACAAGGACATTAATAATAATAATAATAAAAGATTTCATACATTCCATATTTAACACAATTTTTTATTTTTTAATTCTTTATTGTTTTCTTAAAGTGTATACTGTCTTCAGTGTAAATACTGGTCTGTCAGTGTTAATAGTTCATGTCAATAGTTACATTGATTTTATTCTGCCATATGTAATCTTTTATATTTTCTATTATTTTATTACTGCAGAGTGTAACTTTTAACTGATTTTTTTTCTTGTCCAGAATAAAGTTATTTTCTATCTATCTATCCATCTATCTATTTACAATAAATTAAATGGAATAACAGTAAAATAATAAGAAATTAATCCTAATAACAACTTAAAAACAAGCATAATTGTCGATGTATTAAAACTTTAATCAATCGACCATAAAATTACTTTTTTTATTTTTGTTTTTATTTCTTTATTGTGTTATATTACATTGTCACACAACTAACGACATTAGTAACAGTGATATAATAATTCAACCATTTCATATTTATAATAACTAAAAAGAAATTAAATAAAATATCAGCAAAATAAAAATAAATATATCAGGCTTTCAGTTGACAGAATGGCTAACTCTCATTTTAACATTTTTATTCATTATTTTTTTCCAAAATTATTGCAGAAAAATTTACTATGAGTTATCATTACTAATACTTCTGGAATGATTTTGAAAAAGTAGATAATCATTCTGTCAACTGAAAGGCTCATTTATATAAACAAAATAAAAACTTAACCAAATCAAAATAACAACTTAAATACAGGCATAATTCTTGATTTATTAAAACTTTAATCAATCGACCATAAAATTACTTTTTTATTTTTGTTTTTGTTTCATTACTGTTTTATATTACATTGTCACACAACTAAGGACATAAGTAACAGTGATATAATAGTTCATTCAACTAAGACATACCAACTTTATCTATTATTCTGCTTTAGTAACAAATATAGTTGCATGCATTAACCACTTATTTTAATTACTATGACAGAGATGAAAATAACTTAATTAAAAACTGATTTTTTTTTTCTTGATTAAATTATACTATATTCTGTCACAAGGACATTAATAATGGTGATAAAAGAGTTCATACATGCCTTGGAGTAACAGCAAAATAATAAGAAATTAATCATAGTAACAACTTATATACAAGTATAATTGTTGATTTATTAAAACTTTAATCAATCGACCATAAAATTACTTTTTTTATTTTTGTTTTTATTTCTTTATTGTGTTATATTACATTGTCACACAACTAAGGACATTAGTAACAGTGATATAATGGTTCATTCGTTCCATATTTATAATAACTAATAAGAAATTAAATGATATATCAGCAAAATAAATATATGAGGCTTTCAGTTGACAGAATGGATAATTCTAATTTTTTTAAAAATTTTCCTCAAGTTATTATCAATTATATTTCTGTTTCTTCTTTAGAAAACTCATTATTTTTTTCAAAAATTATTGCAGAAACATTTACCATTATCATTACTAATACTTCTAGAATGATTTTGAAAAAGTAAAATTTTTTTCAATAAAAACACTGCTGTAGAAAAAGTAGATAATCATTCTGTCAACTGAAAGGCTCATTTATATAAACAAAATAAAAACTTAACCAAATCAAAATAACAACTTAAATACAGGCATAATTCTTGATTTATTAAAACTTTAATCAATCGACCATAAAATTACTTTTTTATTTTTGTTTTTGTTTCATTACTGTTTTATATTACATTGTCACACAACTAAGAACATAAGTAACAGTGATATAATAGTTCATTCAACTAAGACATACCAACTTCATCTATTATTCCGCTTTAGTAACAAATATAGTTGCATGCATTAACCACTTATTTTAATTACTATGACAGAGATGAAAATAACTTAATTAAAAACTGATTTATTTACTCCAAATTTTAACTTTTTAATATAGTATTCCAGTATGAAATGTTGATTTTTTTTTCTTTATTTAATTTTACTACATTCTGTCACAAGGACATTAATAATAATAATAAAAGATTTCATACATTCCATATTTAACACAATTTTTTATTTTTTAATTCTTTATTGTTTGCTTAAAAGTGTATACTGGTCTGTCAGTGTAAATAGCTGTGTCTTGTCATAGTGTTAATTGTTTCGTACATAGTTTCGTTTGTTATGTACATAAAATGTTTACCTTATATTTCCTTTACATTATTTCTTTTTTACGATTGATTTTATTTTGGCCAGATGTAATCTTTTAATTTTCTTCTATTTTATTATTCTCAAGGGACTGTATCCCAAAATAAAGTTATTTTCTGTCTATCTATCCATCTATCTATTTACAATAAATTAAATGGAATAACAGTAAAATAATAAGAAATTAATCCTAATAAAAACTTAAATACAAGCATGATTGTTGATTTATTAAAACTTTAATCAATCGACCATAAAATTACTTTTTTTATTTTTGTTTTTATTTCTTTATTGTGTTATATTACATTGTGACACAACTAAGGACATTAGTAACAGTGATATAATATTTCATTCATTCCGTATTTATAATAACTAAAAAGAAATTAAATGAAATTAATGAAAAATAAATATATGAGCCTTTCAGTTGACAGAATGGCTAACTCTCATTTTAACATTTTTATACATTATTTTTTTCCAAAATTATTGCAGAAACATTTACCATGAATTATCATTACTAATACTTCTGGGATGATTTTGAAAAAGTAAGATTTTTTTTTAACGAAAACACTGCTGGAAAATTCTGTCAACTGAAAGGCTCATTTATATAAGAAAACAAGAAACTTAAACAAATCAAAATAATATTAAAAATTTAATCAATCAACCATATAAAATTACTTTTTTATTTTTGTTTTTATTTCTTTATTTCTTTAAGTAACAGTGATATAATAGTTCAATCAATCCATATTTATAATAACTAAATAAATATATGAGCCTTTCAGTTGACAGAATGGATAATTCTAATTTTAAAAGTTTTTTCATTGGCATTAATTGAATTAATTATATCAAAAGTACAATTTTATTCTAATTTTATTGCAAATAGTTGTGTTGTATAGAAACTGTAAACATTTGACTATATTTTTAATAGTTGACAATAAAAAAATAAAAAAAAATTAATTAAATATTAAGTATATAATATTTTATCTTTGGGCAGTAATTAAAAACTTATTTATTTACTCCCTATTTTAACTTTGTAATATAGTATTCCATCATGAAATGTTGATTTTTTTTTTCTTTATTGAATTATACTATATTCTGTCACAAGGACATTAATAATGGTGATAAAAGAGTTCATGCATGCCATATTTACAATAAATAAAAATAAGTTAAATGGAATAACAGCAAAATAATAAGAAATTATTCAAAATAACAACTCAAATAACTTTAAATCAATCGATCATAAAATTACTTTTTTATTTCTGTATTGTGTTATATTACATTGTGACACAACTAAGGATATCAGTAACAGTGATATAATAGTTCATTCGTTCCATATTTATAATAACTATAAAGAAATTAAATGAAATATCAGCAAAATAAAAATAAGTATATGAACCTTTTAGTTGACAGAATGGATAGTTCTAATTTTAAAATTGTTTTCATCAACTTATTATCAATTATACTTCTGTTTCTTCTTTAGAAAATTGGTTATTTTTTCTAAAATTATTGCAGAAATATTTACTATGAATTATCATTACTAATACTTCTGGAATGATTTTGAAAAAGTAAGATTTGTTTCAATGAAAACACTGCTGGAAAATGTTGAAAAAGTAGATAATCATTCTGTCAACTGTATATATAAACAAAAAAGAAACTTTAACAAATCAAAATAATAACTTAAATGTAAGCATACTTATATATTTTTTAAAAGATTGTTATCAGATAAGTGTGACATATCTATTTGAGTTTATAAAAACATTCTGCATTTAGATATTGTTTGTATATTAATCTTTCATTTTTTCAAATCTATCTTAAATAAAATATTCATTGGAAAAAAAGACCGTATTTATTATTGCACAGTGTTATTTACCTGTGAAGCAGGTATAATGATCATCGTGGAGGATAATTATAGTGAATGCCACAATTATCACTAATAATTTACAAGATGATTTATTAAGAAATTAATATCCATTTTTTTTTTTAGATTTATACTCGGCAATTAGATGACTAATTTGTTTAAAAAAAATTTACATTTATAAAAAAAAGTGTTGCAATTTAATAGTTTTATTTTTTTGTATTTGTTTTTCTGTTGGCATTACAGACCATGTAGATCTTTTGCCACCTTAACAAGCCTGCTCCATCTCTGTCTGTCTTGGCTATTTCTTTCTTTTTACCTGCACGCAGCTCTATTGCATCTTTGTTGCATCTCTATCCATCTGCTTTTTGCTTCTATTGAGGCATTCATTGTTATGTAGAGGCTTCCAGATAGATTTCTATGAGCTACATGTCCCGCCCATCTTAACCTCCGTGCCTTCATATCGTGGGATATTGATTGACCAGTTTCTGTAAGCAGTTCTTTATTGGTCTTTCTTCTCTAAATGTTAGTACTCTGATCCCAGATTGCCCCGGTTATCGTGCGGAGGATTTTTCTCTTAAATCGAGTATAGTTAGTTTAATTTATTAATTCTTAGTTTTTAAATTAGTACAATTTAACAAAAAAAAATATATATATATATATATTTTGAAAAAAATTAAGAAAAAGTTATCAACTAATTTAAAGTTGTAAGCTTAGTGCATTTTTACTAAATGACAAAGCAAGCACACTAACATATTTATAATGTGAGCATTAAAAATAAAAATTCTAAATAAAAATATTTAATTTTAATTTTGTAACTATTTCATGTAACAATGCAACTTCAATTTTAATTTCCTTCCTATACTGTTTTAATTGGTATTAATTAAATTTATTATATCAAAAGTACAATACTATTGTAATTTTATTGCAAATAGTTGCATTATATGGGAACTGTAAATATTTGACTATTTTTAATAGTTGACAAAAAATAAAATTATATTAAAAGTACTTTGACTAATTTATATTAAAATAATTCATTATAAAAATGAATGAATTTACAAAAATATTTTAGAACATAAAAATCCCATCTTGTACAAGCAACATATTTATTATGTAATATATTTAGAATGCAATATATAATGTAACATATTTATAAAAATCACATCTTGAACAAATACGATTTTTACATGCAGAACATAGATTTTAGCATTGTCTGAATTAAAATTCAAGGATATAAGTATTTAAAATTCTAATATGTAATTACTTCATTTTTTATATAAATAATAATAATTTTATAAAATTATTACTTTTTTTCATTCTGTTTATCCATAACAATATGTTGCATTTCTTTAAAACATTATAATTCTTTAATAAAACTTATTATATTGCTTAGTATCCTTTCATTTATGAACATAATTGGTTCATTGAACATTATTTATTCAGATATGTGCGATACGACTGCGACATTTAAAATTCTACAACTAAAAACCTTAATTATAATTAAAAATAAATAAATTAATAAAAATATTTTCAATCTCTACTAATTACTTCATATTTTAATAATAAATAAATGATGGTAAAATATTTATTATATTATAAATTAAAATATACAGTGGCATCACTTTATTATTTCTAACGATTTCAAATCAACTAATAATGAATGTCTCCAGTCTTTTGCAAAATTAATAAGAACATATTAAACAATTCAGGAGTATAGAAATAGTTTTAAAAAATATTCAAAAATATATATTTTTTTTTTTTCCTAATCGAAAAGTTTGTATTAGAATAATGTTGTTTCTTCCTTTTGTTTTTCTGCCTTTCATTCAATTCAATGTGGGATTGATAGAATAAGGTTTCAAATAAATTTTAAGTGATTTTGTTATTCTTCCATCAGAATAATCCTTAATTTCTTGCTATTCTAAAGATCATGTTGAAGAATTTTCCAGATATTGAGAAAGCATGCTATTGATAGTATATTACAAAAAGCATAGAAAAATTAATGAATAGAAAAGTGTAAAGAGGTTAAATAGAAAAATAATAATGGCACTACAAAAATATTGAGCAATAAAATCATCCTTTTAAATGGTGGCTGTAAAAGTTCTATTGTTAATATTTTAGTTTATGGATTGCATAGTTCTAGTTGATGATAAAAATGCTTTGCTTTAGTTCATTTCATTATATTCTGTTTAAAATGTCAAGCAGTATTACCACTATTTTTCGATATATATATATATATATATATGTATGTATAGATTGATAGATAGAGAAATAACTTTATTCTGGGACAAAGTCACTTAAGAATAACAAAATGTTACAGAACAGAGGAATACTTCTGGCCTAGAGAACTTCATAAAATAAGTAAAATATCTTATGTAAACTAACATATATACAAAAAAAGTAACAAGCTGATGAAACTATATACAAAATGTCAAGAGCTATATACAATCCAAATAATAAATAAAACAAAATAATCACTGTTTAACTAAAATAATAAAGAGAAATAAAACAGGTAGAAACAAAAGTAATAAATAAAAAATTAATTCCTCTAGTAAATGAGCACCAATTAAGAATAACTAACGTGTATTAAAATATAATAAAGAATTTTTATATTCTGTCACGGGGACAATAATTATATTGATAAATGAACACATTCACACCGTATATACAAAAAAAAATTAACAAAAGTAAAATAATAACTAAATAATAATAAATAAAAACTATATACAATAAAAAAATAAAATAAGCTAAATAAAGAATTAAAGATTTATTTATTCTATTTTGGTAAGAATTAAAACATATACAACAAAAATATTAAGAAAATAAATATATTAAACAAATTCAAGAGCACAGTTATCATGTAGAACAGCAGTGACACAGTTTAAAAAATATATTTACAGGTTCACAAGTAAGAATATACACAAGTCCATGAAAAGTAATGAAAAAAAAAAATATATATATATATACATAAAGCATTGGTTTTCAAACCAAGACTCTCATCATGCCCAGCATGATCAAATTTAACATGTGGTTAGCCATTTTCTGACATATTTCTAACACACACACATACATACATATATATACATTTACATTGTACATATATTGGATCATTGGATCTTTTATTAAGTGTCCTTTTCATTGGAAGGATATTATCAAACAGGTTTATAAAAATTATTTGTCTTATATGTATGAATAAAAGATACATATAACCAATCAAAATGTAAATACTATTATGAGTGAGAATCTAAAATGTAAATAGTATTACTGGCAAAACTCCAATGAAACAATATTTTTAAAATTAAATTATAACTAAAAAACAAATTTTTCTTACAGCTAATTTTAAAAAATATATCTTATTTCTTATCTTTTAATAGAAAATATACTTATAATAGAAAAAAAAATACTATTCATGCGACATTCCTGAGAGAACAATTTATCACCCCTAGTCCTTGATGCTAGGTTCTGAGAACGGAGACCTTGTGATGGTAAAACCGGTTCTACTCAGGAAATAAATATGCACAAATCCAAAAATGTTCATTTTGATTGTAAAAAGCACTTAGCTCCATTCTGTTAAATTTAAATAAGTTTCAGAATGATTTTGAGAAACAGTTTATTTTTTCGGATAGTTTAAAACTACAACATACAACAAACAAGTAAAATTTTAAAAAAATTGTTAGTTTCAGTTTGATAAATTATTAACTGAAAAACAAATGGACCATTTTTTTTTTAACATCATCACTTTGGTGCAAAGAAGCTACCATTAAAAATAATAAACCAAAATGGCTTCCATACCAATGCTCTTCTTCTGCCACCAATATAATAATTTATGGTGATGTAGAGATGGTTGACCGTGATATAACATGAGAAGGAATTGATCGGGGGGAGGGGAGGGAGAGGGGTGCGGTTAAATAAATAGTACATTATACAAATAGTATTATTTAATTTTTACCAACGTTTCGACCCACTTTGCAGGTCTTCATCAGGGTTACAAAAGATACAAAACATTGTGAAAATAAAATAAATGAATATAAGTAGATATAAAATAAGAAGAAGCTGTCTGATAAAGAAATAAAAAGATGATATCAGAGATATAGTGGGTGACAATATAGTTAAATATTGTCACCCACTATATCTCTGATATCATCTTTTTATTTCTTTATCAGACAGCTTCTTCTTATTGTCAATGTAGTTAAATATTGTCACCCACTATATCTCTGATATCATCTTTTTATTTCTTTATCAGACAGCTTCTTCTTATTTTATATCTACTTATATTCATTTATTTTATTTTCACCATATTTTGTATCTTTTGTAGCTCTGATGAAGACCTGCAAAGTGGGTCGAAACGTCGGCAAAAATTAAATAATACTATTTGTATTATTTACTGTTTATTTAAGCGCACCCTCCATATTATTATCAATTCCTTCTCATATTATATCACGTTCAACCATCTCTACATCACCAGAAATGAGTTGCCATAGTTTATAATTCCATGATTTGTTTTTAATCTAGAAAATGTAAAATAATTTAATTATAAAGTAAGGAGATGGTCCGGGGTGGCAGTCATAAACATTCTAAATAGTGGTAAAACTATTTTATTTACTACACTAAAATATTTTATACACTACAAGAATGGTTAGTATCTATTTACTTTAGTTTAGGATCTTGTTACTTAGCTTACCCTGTTCATATTTTAATGTACTTACTGTTTATAATTTTAATAAGCTTATTCACATTTTTTGTCTAAATATTATGTAACTTCCACAATTCTCTATCTTTTCGTATCTTGTCCGTTCTAGCCCTGAAGAAGACCTGCAAAGTCAGGTCGAAACGTTGGCTTTTAATAAAATAGTTTTACCACTATTTAGCCTATTTATGACCGCCACCCCGGACCATCTCCTTCCTTTATAATGCAACGGTCAATTATTAAATATTCAATAATTTAATTATAATTTTCATTCAGATTATCTTTATATATTTATTGCGAGAATTGGTCTATTTTTAAACTAAATTAATAATTTTGTCTTGTTTTATAACTTTGAAGGGATCGGATTGGAGACGACCCTGGATTTAGCTAAAAGAGGAGCGAGAGTAATCATGGCCTGTAGGAACATGCTTGAAGCGGCCAAAGTCAGGAGTAAGCTTCTTCTATTTATTTTGAATGTTTTACGTTTCCTGTTCTTTAATTTCTAAGGATGAAACACGACTTTATAAAACTATGATGATAAAATAAAATAAGTATCAAAAATGATAATGTTCTATGCTCTAAACATTTTGAGCTAAATTAATAATATAATTGTTGATAAATTAATTAATAATTTGTTTAAGTTCTTACATTCCTTTTATTTTTAAATTGGTTTCAGCTTTTGCTTTAGACTCTTTTGACATAATTATCGTAATGTTAATTCATATCTTTGTTTTTTAAAAAGTTTTAATTTAATTTTGCAGATACAATAGCAAGAGAAGCTAAAAATGATAACGTTGTCGTAAGAAAACTAGATCTGAGTTCAGTTCAATCAATAAGAGAATTTGCAGCTGAAATAAATTGGAGGGAACCGCGCTTGGATGTATTGATACACAATGCAGGAATGGCAAATACTTTTTCAAAAAAAGTTACTGAAGATGGATTTGAAGTAACTATGATGACCAATATGTTTGGTCCATTTCTTCTGACACACCTTCTCATAGGTAAAAAATTTATTAAACTTCTATTATAAATATTTAAATGTTTATATGACTGTATTGAAAAAGTCCAAAAACTCAGATTTTTCAAGCTTATTGTTTCAGACTTAAAAATCATAAAATTTTTATCAGTAATCTTTTATTATATATGCTTAGTAAACTGTTTCATTTGGAACAACTTTTTATACACAATACACAATTTACAAGTTTTTAATGATTCTTTCATTAATATGGCCTAGAAAAAGGTTTCAAAACTTTTAACTGATAACAAAAAAAAAAATACACAGATTTTTAAAAGAAAACGTTTTTAGAGAGATAATCATTTTATTTTCATAAAAGGGTGCTGCCCAATTACATTAGGTTGCTATAAACACAGCATACTTATTAATCATTATAGACAAATTTTAAAACAAATATACAGTATTAACAATATATATGAGTGTAGTATACTATACAATATTATATATATAATTTTTTTTTTTACAATTTCTTTCATTCATTTATTAGCATTCTACATCCCTTTGTTTTCCTTCTCTTCCCTTATACATTTCTTTTGTTCCTCCTCATATTCTCTCCTTTATCTTCCTAACCTAATTCATAAAAATAGATAAAATACAGTGGACGTGCTCAATAAATAATATAAAAATGCTGTAACACATGCATGCCTCCCTCTCATGAACAAATTCTCTCCCTATCCACTCCCATGCACATGGATGATTCCCAGGCAGTCAGGATTATATTCTCTGCCACGTCCTTTATGTCAACACCAAGGCCCTCCATGAAGCTCCTTGTTGAGTTTGGTATCGTTCCGCGAGCTCCGAACCAAAGGCCTCTCACATGGAACTCTCTCGGCTCGAAACTCTCGCGGAACTTCTCATTAAGGAAAGGGATGTATTTCTCAATTTTTTTTTTCTCTTTCCACTTTGCCTGCCTGATCGAGGTCATTGGTCTCATATCTCATGGTAGGATCCAAAATCATCGCCAACTTTCCTGTCTTAGAAAATGCTACAATATCGGCATATCGGGTGGATCCATCCATATCTATGCAATATACTTCCTCGAAACAGGCGTAATCTCTCTCTTTAAGAAGCCTCATGAGTTCATGATTGACTCTGTGGTGATGGCAAAGAGGGAGTTGTTGGGGTATTTTCCAAGCACATGTGCTGATGTATCTGGCTCTCTGTCGCATTAGCAACTCAATTTCTTTTACCTGTCCGCTGACACTTGGGACTCTATGCAGGAGTGCATATTTAATATTAAGTTTCAGAGTATTTGACCGTTCAGATCTAGAAATTACTTGCTTTTTGTATATGTATTTATTCGCTTTCGGGGGCTCTTTAAAATGGCGAACTCCAATGACCTGTCACCTGCGATTGGCCCATTCCTCAAACCAATTTTCTTGTAGCAACTGCCGTAAAGCTCTCATATTCCAAATACCCCAATCAACCCTCAATCTTTTGAGCACATTCAGCAACCTCAGCCGAATAATCAAAAATCGATTGGAAAAGAGCATCGGGCACATTGAACAATCGCTGAGCAATGGACCAATGTTGTAGAGGGGCCTCCCATTGGCAGCAGATTAATCCTAATCCTTAGTACCTCCTAGGAGCATATAACATCGTCGTGCAGGTATTTGCAGGGAGTCCAATAATGGCCTTTACACTCCTGTGAATCATGCTCGATGCCATCAAGTATGGCAGAAGACAGCTTTGTGAGGGAGATACTGATTGACAATGTTTAGCTTTTGCTCTGGCTTAATTTATGTTTATAATATACTATTTTTCATATTTAAAAAATATATATATTACTATTTATTTAATATTTGATAATTATAAATATTCTATTTCTTATTAAATTTATGTCTACCTTTGACTATATTATGTCAAAAATTCAATTTGGCTATTATTTTCAGATTTATTGAAAAAATCTGCTCCTAGCAGGATTGTCGTAGTTGCTTCAGAACTGTATAGGCTTGCCAATGTTAACATGAATAAGCCTAACCCTGTGAATACACTACCAGCCTATTTGTACTACGCCTCAAAGTATGCAAACATATTATTCACAAGAGAATTAGCCCAGAGGTTACAAGGAACAGGTAACTTTTTACAAGTACATTTCATCTAAGACTTTCTTTTTTTTTTTTAATAACTAGAGACCAGATCTTCGTACAGTAAAATTTAAAAAAACGTGCTACAAAAACCTCAAAATGTGCAAAATTGTAAATAAAATTTTAATAAAACGCAACATTGAAAATGAAATTCCTTTAGAGTTTTTAGGAAACTTTAGAAATACTCTGTAATATGTATTTGCATTTCTCAAATCTTCAATTATCAGTGTCGATGTTGTTTTTCTAGATCAAAAATATTTTTGTGGTCTATGCTCTTTCCAAAAAAAAAAAAAATCAACATTAAATTCTTTAATGGAAATATTCTTTCATATCAGTTCTGCAATGAGGGTCTATCTGTGAAATCCTATCATACCTGTTAAATATTTCATGGGCCTTACACAAGACAGCTTTCCTATCACATTTCAACTTGGAATAATTTGATATCCAGATATTAATTTTTGACAAGATCCTCGATCTCTTATCCTAGATTAATATGCACTAATATTTATTCTACTATTTCCACTGTATTATTCTATTGGTTTCAGCCCCCAATTGGTCTCTTACTTTCTAAATATACGCTACATTCAAGGTAAAGAGAAGTATGTTTTAAATCTGAAATATCTTAAGAGGGATGACACAATTTAAAAATCCAAAATTTTCTTAAAATAGTGTTAGCTATTCGGTCACCCTATTCGGATGATATGGACATCATAGGGCGGTCATTACAGTCTGTTAGAGAAGGATTTTTAGCTTTGTTGGAGGCCGCCAGAGCACTTGGGCTAGAAGTGAATGAAGGCAAAACTAAATATATGGCCACAGGAGAAGTCCATCGACCAGGCGAGACCATCAATATTGACCTTGAGAAAGTAGCGCAGTTTATTTGGGGTCACTGGTAACACAAGACAATGCTCCCGAGGTCGAGGTCAAGAAAAGAAAACTTATGGCTAACCAATGTTACTTCGCCCTTCGCAAGGAATTCACCTCTCGCCTTCTATCCCGGCATAACAAGCTACATCTCTATAAAACTTTAATCTGCCCAGTCCTGCTCTATGCTTCAGAAACATGGACGACTACTAAAAAAATTGAGCAAGACCTCCTAATCTTTGAGAGAAAAATTCTTCGAAGAATATTTGGAAGAGTACAGATTGATGGAAATTGGAGAAGATGAACAAATGCCGAAATTTGTTTCAACTTGTAATGATCAAGATGTCGTTCTGAAGATGAAGCATGGAAGATTGAGATGGACTGGAAATGTGACAAGGATGGAGAATGAAGCAATCCCTAAGATGATCCTGACAGAACCTCTCTACGGCACAAGGAGAAGAGGAAGACCAAAACTAAGATGGTCAGACTGTGTGGCAAGAGATTCAAGGGATGTCCTGGGAGTCAGGAGCTGGATGATGGCTGCAAACAACATAGATGACGGGAGGAATAATAATAATAAAGATAATAATAATAATAATAAAGTGTTTAATTGTGCTATAGTGTATATTTAAAATTTTTTAATGGAGACTTAATTATTTAAACATTTTTAAATTTATTGCACTACTGCTTTTAGTATTAAGAATATATGAGGTTTTCAGTGGACAGAATAACTCCAATTTCAACATTTTTTAGTAAAGTCATTTTAGTGATATTTCCAGTTTGAAAATTTATAATACCTGTACAGACAGCGAATAAGTTTATTTCAGAGTAGAACTGTGAATAAAGGTATAAATTTTCCCACCAGCAATATCAATACAAAATTTTGAAATTGGAGTTAGTCATTCTGACAACTGGAAGGCTCATACATATTTACCCAACATTTACAATTCAAACAAGTATAGGCAATCTGACAAATATGGCCAATTTGAAATAGACTGACTACTAATTTTGGTAAATAGAGCAATTGGTAAAAACATTTCTTAGTTAATTGTATTTTCATTTTGTCACAACTTAGTTTTTCATTTTTTAAATAAATATTTTTTTTAAATTGATGAATTTGTGTCCATGTTTATTTTATTTTATTTGTGTCTATATATTTCATAGGTGTTAGTGCTAATTGCTTACATCCCGGCATGATAGATTCTGGTATTTGGAGAGATGTACCATTCCCCCTCAACATACCAGTAAAAATTATAGCTAAAATTTTCTTTAAGGTAAGATATATCAACTATAATTAATGATAAGTTCTAATAACTGTCTTTATTTAGATATTTTAGAATTTATTTTCTACCCTAGTTGACCATTTATTTTTTGAAACTTTGAATAATAACATGAATTCTTTCATAATTATAATAATAATAATAACATGAATTCTTTCATAATTATAATAATAATAATAACATGAATTTAAACAGAGTAGTTACTTCCATCCTAATTCGGAACTTTAAAAATTATCAAAACTGAGTATTTTGTAAGAGACCAAAACTGAGATGGTCAGATGTTGTGGCGGGAGATATCCTGAGTCAGGAGCTGGATGATTGCTCCACAGAGCAGAGAGCAGTCCGTGGAAGAGCTCAAGACTCGTTACAGAGTTGTAGAATCGAGATAAATAAATAAAAAATATCAATTTTTACTTTCACTTATCTATATATATAATATTTAGTAAAGGAAGGTATTGCGATCGTGAAAATTTTCGAATCTTCGTTTTCAACACAAATACATGTCAAATTACTTCCTTAGAAATATTTTTTTGAAACTCCTGTTGTGCGGGTGGAAAAAATGTTACATTTACCTCACCTTTTTTATTTTATTTTTTCATAAAAAAAAGTATAATTATAAAATCTACAAGAATGCCATTACAGTTTTATTATATTTCAAACTACTAGGTATTATTATTAAATTAAATTTAGAATCTTGGAAATTAAAAAACACACACATTTCTCACCTCCTTTATTAACCCAATAGTTAAAACTGTACTACCTATATGTCATTGATATTTTTTGTTTGAATTCAACAACGATCAGGAAAATAAATGCTATTTATTTTTTTCTATATAAATTTATTTTCCTGTCAATAATTTTTTTAATTATTTATTTAATAATTTTCATTAGATCTTTAACATAATATTTAAAAATGTATCCAATATAAATGTTAATTATTATAAAGCTTATGCAGTATTTTAAAGTAAATAAGTAAAGAATACTGTGAAAATATAGATAAATCCTCTTAAGACTGTGTCACGAAGTTAATAAACTATCGTTAGTTTTTATCGATACTATCCAACTATTGATAGTGAAAAACTATCGACTACCGCCCATTCCTAAGTGTCCCCAACCTTAAACTATGCTAAATAACTCTATGACCTATTAATTGACTAGAGCAGTAGATATTGGTAGGTTATTCAAACAAATGTGTTTGCACTGAATTACTTTATTTCAAATTGAAGTTTTGTTTCTATTCACTCCATTTTACCGTAGTTTAATAATGCTAGCCAGGTCCATTTTTATTGCAATGCGAGTTAGCTCCATCAAGTGGTTTCATCATCTATGCAATACTAAGCTGTTTGTGAATGAAAATTTGTGAACTAAAAAAATTGTGAGAAATTTGTTAAAAACATATAAATACATGATTTATTTACAAAAGCGACTCCCTCCACAAGTGTTCAGTTTTGAAGAAAATACTATGTGGACAATTGGATTGAGGCAAACTACCATAAGTGGTAAGAGACCATAACAGTCGAAAATATAATATCAAACAATTTGGCTAACCCAAAAGAAAGCAAACGGAATCTTTTTGGATTTCCATCCAACAATATAACGTTTTGTTAGTTTTTAGTTATTTGGCAATAATAACTTCCAATTGGTAACAATTGAATATATTTCTATTATCAACGTTACATGTTAACAAGTTAGTTGACGTTTCGGGATATTTACTCCCATCTTCGGAACTACAATCCCAATAATCTTGTGGATGCAAGGCTTAAAAATAATAATAATGTGCTCCATCGTCAAATTTCTAATTCATGTTATAAAATATATCATCTAGAGCAACATCCTGCTTTTGACCTTAACGTTTATAAAATGTTTTATACTGCTTGTAATAACGTTTCGCATAATCCTTGGAAATTTTTCAAAGCAGACCTGTTTATAGATGTTTATAACAGGGCTATTCAAATATATTTTCATATTACAAGATCTGTTAATATTGCAAATTTTTGTTTACCTGACGATAAAATAAAAATACAGCTTTTTATCTATTTAATTAAATTATCCATAGTTACATGGATACTTTTTTAAGAATTGAATTAGCTATAAAATCACACCATTAGTTTAATGTTCACAATAATGGCATAAAACATATATAATTTTTATAATAATAATATGCGTCATAGGTAGATCACAATACTTGTCTACTTTTACACAATACCTTCACATGTTTTCACTTAAACTTCTTAAGGAACATATATATATCATTGATTTACTCTAATTATTTTCTTTTATTCTTATTTTTTTTCATTATATTGTAGCACTAAAATCGGTTACCTATAAAACTTATTTAGCATTTCTTTCCAATTTTATTTAGTTATAAGTATATTGTTGTTTTTTGTACCAATATTATAATATTGTAACCGTTGTACCCATCCGCTTTCCTTAATATACCCTCCAAAACTATGTATATACTCATTTTATTACTTAGATTGTAGTTACTCGTTATTATAATAGGTCATCTGGCTACATTTATTGTCAATTGGTTTAAACAATATTGTTATTCTCAAGGGACCTAGTCCCAGAATAAAGGTGATTTTCTAGTTCTATAATTTAAAAAATATACATTACAAAATTTTAATTATGATTTAAGTGTATATTAGTCACTAATATTACTAATTATATACCTTAACTGTTGTAGACACCTGAAGAAGGGGCTCAAACAACAATCCATTTAGCAGTCTCCGATGAAGTAAACGAAGCCAACGGCAAATATTTCATGGATTGCAGGGTAAACATTGCATACATGTAATTCGCAACTAATGATTTTAATAAATACAATATAACTGTTATTTTACAGGAACACGGACTGTCATCCGACGTATCAGACATGGGTAAGGCAGCCAAGTATTGGGAAATCCTTGAAGGCCTCATACTGAAACCGTCTGATCCTCGAATATAAACTATAAACATAACTATTTGTATTCAACACTTTTATGTAATTTTAATTAATGATGTACATATTAATAATAAAGTTAGTTTTTATAAATATTTCGTTTTCTGTAATTAGCAAACAAATCTACTTTATTCATTCCAACATGTGCATTGTATGTATAAACAAATTTAAATACAGTAAATAGTATATAATATCAACAAATATAATTTGTTTTAACAACTGGGCGAGTAGCTTTTGAAAATTCTTAGAGGTATTACTGTTATCTAAAATAACATAAAATAGTGTAGTAGACATCCCCCGGTATTTACTCCTTTATGTGATATTGTGTGAGGGAATGAGAAGGAATATATAATATATAGGAATGTGAGGTTGCACTGAGAATTATACTCAATTATGCAGTGGAAAAATTATTCATTGGAAAAGTATCATATTGATAAACAATCGATGAAGGACACTGGAAAAAGGTCAGAGCAGATAGCTAGCAACAGCTGGCAGAAGGATGCCGAGAAGAGCACTCGAGGCCTGGACAAGAAGACAAGAAGACGTCATCTGCGAAAAGAGGCTGACTACATTGAAAACTAAGAATATCAAGCCCACAGTTATAAGACTTTTATACATTAATTTATTACAGTTGTCAAAATAAATTGTTTTATTATACACGAGTGAAAAGTCATTTTATTTAGTTGTCCTATATGCCTCACAACTAAAGAATAACAAATCAAGTGAGTCAATTCATTTAAAGTGTATTTACTCAATCCTACATTTCATATATGTATTTTTATTCTTTCTTCTCACTCAATGTCACAAAAGCATTAGGTTCCCAAATTCCCAACAACATTTAAACACCCTCAAAAGGTCAATATCCAGTGCCAGGATTTTGTTTTAATATTCACGAGTGTAAATTACCTAGTTCCCCGATAAAAAACGGAAGGAATATTTATTATTCCTGACTAAAGGAATATTTAAAATTAACTTTTATTAGGTTATTTACAATAGTTTAAACAATAATAATTTGAAATACAAAAGGCAAAGCATGTATGTTTGATTGAATTCGTAATTTTAAGAATTAAATAATAGTTATTTCGTAACTGTTATTATTCAAACATAAGTTAGGAGGGAAAAAGGGTTTATTCAATGAACTCTTACATCAGATCTCAGTAATAATTTATTTAATTTAAAACTATGTACAGGATTTTATCTTACAAGGCCAAGATGATAACAAACAAATCATAAATAATGGTATAGACAAATAGGAAATTCGCTTATAATTGTTAGGAAAAAAAAAAATATGAAGTTAATTAATAACAAGTCTGAAGATTATTAATTATTGCATAGGTGTATTCGCTTGTGGTAGACTGTCCTCCTACATCCTTTGTTTTGACCTAAAAAATAAAATTAATTAAATAAAAGAATTTACTTAAAATTTTTAATGTATATCGTACAGAATAAATAAATATAAAAATACCAACCTTTCCATCAGTTAAGACTTTGGCAATTGCCTTTTTAATCATTTCACCATAATGAGCCAGATTAACATGAAACAACATTTTAGCACCACAAAGTAACATTGCCGTTGGATTAGCTACATTTTTGCCAACTGCTTCTGAGTATGTATGTCTTGCACCCTGAGAACAGAGAACACTTTTTATTCATTTATCTTCAATATCAATTTTTATTCATTACCTTCAGTCCTCAAGATAAATAGACCACAGTAATACTTATCAGAAAAGTGCACTTAGGGGGAATCAAAAGTTGTCTGGCTACGAAGAGTTGTCCGTTTTAGAGATATTGAAAGTAAAACTTTATAAAATTAAATAAAAATTAGAAAATTAAAATTGTATTTTATAAGTCTTATATCGTAAAAATTAAATCGTCTGATTATAAATTTACAATTTAAATATATTTTTATGAGAAATAATATATTTTTATAAAAGTAAATAATGAATATGAAACGTAAACTTGTATATATGTATATATATAGAGAAAACATTCTATAATTTTTGTTTGAGCTAGCATACCAATTTATGTTTTCCAAATTATTATGGATGGATAAAATTGTTACAATTCTTTCAAAATGAAAATTGTTTCTCAGCCTACTAATTTGTGACAGAACTTTCTAATTCATTGGGGATTTAAAGGGCTCAGAGATCACAAAAATGTATTGTCAGCTCAAAGGTCCAGTACAAGTATAATTATTCGAAATGGTAGTGCGAATGCTGGATGGTTAAGCCAGCCATGAGCTTGACGAAATCATTCATATATTACTTGATTTACGGCATAACTTATAGGAAATTATTTCTCGACATTTACATTTCTCTGTTCACAGAATTCTTTAAAATGTCTAACCAACAATTTTTAATCAAGTGACTGAAATGTGGATACTAAGCTTTTCTGATACCATGTTGATATGTTACAATCAAATCTTTGGAAATAAGAACAAAAGTTTAAGATTCTAAACTCTATTTGAAAACCGAATTCCCAGTATAAGTTATTAAACTAAGTGACAATATTGTAATATACACCTTTATTGGAAGTGGGTAAACATGATTTAATAAATTAATGTTGAACAGTTAAAAGGCAAGCTAATCTAGTTCTACTAGTGCATAGAAAAGAAAATGGCTACTTTGTAGTTTTTCAAGAAGGAAAATCCCAAAGAGGAACGGGACAAAGGTTTTTGTTTTGGCAAGCAGTTGTTGTGTGACTGCAGTGAAGAGAGGTTAAGAGAAGATATCCTATCCTGGCTCCAGTGGGTAAAACCCAGTAATAGTTTTACCATCTTAGATCTTGTTTGGCAAGGAGAATAGTTGTTTGGAATTGCAAAAGATAGGATTTCCCTGAGAGCTTGAGTAAGTGGAAGAATAGTGTTACCATTTTGGAATATGTGTTTGGCAGAACATAAGAAAACGTGTGAAGACAAATGAGTTCAGTGCCACAAAGGAAGAAAAATTGTATGTAAAAAAAAGGTTAGCTTGTCAATTCATACTTGACTTTATTTTTAAATCAATCAGTGTTTAATTTTAATATATATAGTGGAAATAATAATAGTTTGTCTGAGTTGATCTGATTGTCAGTAACCCATACCTGAGATAAATAAATACATTAATTCTCTTATAATTTTGTTTATTATTAAACAACCTCTCATTTATTTAGGAAGTATCCCCATGGTAAGAAGTGAGCTTCCGAGGTTATATTATTATTATTATTATTTGTAAAATATACTGACAGGCAAAAAATTCCACCCACTTGATTTTTTCATCTAAAAATATATATCTAAAAGTTGTATTTGTATATAATACATGGTATTTGTAGATAATACTGAGTATTTATGGAATTTTATAATCTTTTTTACCTTTAATAATCAAAATGTGATTGGGTAAGAAAGATTAGAGAAAAAAAAAATTGAAAAACGAACCATTATTATTCTAAAAGAAATGAATTACATCATCGTTTAGTAGCACTTGTTCTTGCCTTCAGTACTTCTTGAAGACGCCTCGGCATACTTTCCACCAGTCGGGAAATGTCCCTTTGCTAGAAGATAGCCTATTCCTCCCGAAGAGCCCTTTCAAGATCCTGCAGTGTATCAGGAAGTGTTGCACTCCTGTTGGAAGTGTCTTCCGAGGTTCTGGAGAACATGCTGGCCAGGCTAAAACATCAATATTGTTCTGTTGAAGGAACACCTGCACTATGCGGGCGACATGTGGGCGTGCATTAGAATAGAACGATCGCCGATTTCGTTGAGGATAGTCAACACATGAGGTTCCAAAATCTCATCTACATAGCGAATGGCCGTCAAAGACCCTCCACAAACAACAACCAATTCTGTGCGGCGCTCCATTGAAACTCCAGCCCACACCATTAAGGAACCACGTTGGAAAGGTTGGCTCTGGGAAAAATTACAGGCTGCATATCTTTCGTTTCTTCTTCGTTTCACGCCTGTCTGGAGATCGAAGAGTGATTTTGATTCATCTGTAAAAAGTACAGCACTCCATTCGTCCATAGTCCAATGGCTATGTTCTCGAGCAAAAGCCAGCCGTGTTACTCTGTGAGTTCTGGTCAACTCTAGTCCTCTTACTGGACGAAAAGCCATTAATCCATACTCATTTAATCTTCTCCAAGCGGTACATTCAGAAATTTGCACATTAAATTCTCAGAAGTCTGAAAATAATCCGGTTCTAATCACCGTCATCCTGGTTCTGTTACCCTAGGCCATCCAGAACCGGGCCTTCTATTGTAGGAACCAGTTTCCCAAAAACGCCTGACGGCGTCTCGTAAAGTTTCATATGGAACTCTAATGGCATTAGCTGCATATCTAATGGAACGTCCATCATCAATAAGTGTCACACCACGCGCGCAACATCCTCAGCACTAAGACGCATTTTTAAACTTAATATTGAAAAAATTAAAAGCCGGAGACTAAGAAATGTGCTGCAAGAAACGGCACTGAACTAATGATACTGAATAAACATTTTGATTCCATAGGAAGTAAACATTGGAATCTAGAATGATTTCATTGAATTAAGGATTAAGGGTTATGTCCTCTATATTAACATTCCTAATTGAAAACAAACAAAGAGATTACCTATTTATTCATTAAAAACAATAGACCAATCCAAAGCAGAAATATTTTTAGATGAAAAAATCAAGTGGGTGGAATTTTTTGTCTGTCAGTGTATAAGAGGGATGTTACAATATATTAGATTAATGTTCTCAGATACGAATAATATCTGACTCATAAGTTCTCTGCTGCCCGCTAAGAAGAAACTTTTCAATCATAATCTTCGTCGCAATCATATTTGCGTTCATTATAGAGAAAGTCCAGTATGCAGGAGTCATTTATACAGTAAAATTATACAAATTAGAAGGGGATTATTATAAAATTGTCTGCTATACATAAAAGTCCATCAACTTTTTAAATAAATCTGTGTAATCTTCCTCACCGGCTCGAACACAACACACTCAGGACTGTAAGAGGCGCCCGCTACCATACCAGCTCCTCCGACCAGACCTGAAGCCAGGTTATCCAAAATGTTACCATAAAGGTTAGGCATGACCATCACGTCGAATTGGTCAGGATGAGAGACCATCTGCATGGTACAGTTGTCTACAATCATTGATTCAAATTTTATCTTAGGATATAACTTTGACATCTGTAAGCAAAAAATAAATAAAAATCATAGTCAATAAAAGTTATGAAATTAAAAATATTTAATAGTACTATGAAAGCAATTAATTGATTTAATAAATATCGGATGTATAAAAGGTTATGATATCATAGATAAAATGAAAGTATTTCTTCATTAAATTACATAATGTACATCACAAACTGCATGTAGGGCAGGTTGTGATTTATTACATAGGTTCAACACAAAATGTTATTAATTTGGTAGGCATTTCAGAATCGAGCAACTAATCCGCTTCCCACATACAATTATCCAGAATGATCTCACAAACGGGTGTAAATAAATAAAAGACCTGACCCAAAGGGGACCTAGAATTTTGAGTTTTTTATACAATAAATCCTAATCAATGTTTATATATCTATATGTTTTTACAAATGTTCTTTCCTCTTCTTGACTACAACCAATAGATTGCCAGCCGGTAATGATTTTAAGGTTTGTTTTAAGCATAAAATCATAGCAATAAAATATAACATAAAACTATATCATTTTGTAATGCAATAAATAACTAACATTGTATTATGTACAATAGTGGACATCAGATTTTATCTTGGTACAACCATCGATGGTCTGTGGATAAAGACACCTCAAAAGAACAGAAGTTCCTCTGGCAGGAAAATTTTAAATTTTTTTTATTAAAACTAAATTTTTAAACCATGCTAAGTGAACTTAATTTATTAGTAGTTATTTGGCAATGATTACTTCCAATTAGCAACAATTGAATATATTTGTTGTATTATCAAAATCAAAGTTGCATGTTTACAAGTTTATGTTTCGGGATATTTACTCCCATCTTCAGAACCACAATCCCAATGATCTTGTGGATGCAAGGCTTAAAAATAATGTGCTCCATCGTCAGTTTTTAATTCATGTTATAATAATCTAGGTATATAAAATCTAGACACCCAATAATTAGTCTAAAAGCAAGATGTTACTCTAGATGTTATATACCCAGAACATGAATTAGAAACTGACGATGGAGCACATTATTTTTAAGCCTTGCATCCACAAGATCATTGGGATTGTGGTTCTGAAGATGGGAGTAAATATCCCGAAACGTAAACTTGTAAACATGCAACTTTGATAATACAACAAATATATTCAATTGTTGCTAATTGGAAGTAATCATTGCAAATTAACTATGAGTATCATACAACTTTCCAGAAAAAAAAAGATAATTTATTAGAAATCCCATTTCAAAGATTTTTTTATTTTATTTTGATAACAGTAAATATATGAACAATAATGTTTTAAAGATAAATTGCATGCTTACATTTAGATATAAACACATTATAATTTTAAAATAAAACATATTGTAATTGTTAAACTATTTGGCTTAGATTATTCATGGAAATAAAAATGGACCAAACTAAAAAAAAATTATAAATATTTTTTGAGAAGGAATTAGTCGAGGGTGCGGTCAAAAAAAATAAAAAAAATTAAAATATATAAATAATTTTAATTTTTTTTATTTTTTTTTGACCGCACCCTCGACTAATTCCTTCTCATATCATATCAACGGTCAACCATCTCTACATCATTATAAATATTTTTTATAAGGGGGGAAAAGATTCAGGCCTCCCATGAATCCCCTCGTGATTATCTTTAACACCATATATTAAAATTTTGTGTAAAAAGCTACTCAGAACTTTGAAGTTTGACCCAGTTCTACAAAATCATACTGATGCCCCAGTTCATATTTTATAGAACAATAAACATTATTATGCATTAATATTTTCAGTGTAACTGCCACAAGGCTTATTGAAAAATATTTATTTAGCCAAAATATGGGCTAATTTAATGAAAATGTTTTGATTTCGGGAATAATCAAAAAAGAAAAATCAATAAAATAATGTGTTTAACAATTATCAATTAGCATTGTATCCTGCTACCTAATAATATGTTAAATTAATTAGATATATTAACTAGGCATGAATTAAAACAATTTTTCTTCTCTGGCTTAGACAAAAAATCAATTAGAATTTTTTTTTTTAATGGCCATGATTATAATTTGAGGAGTTGATTGGGGATGCAGTCAATATAAATATTATCCCCATAAATATTATTACAGTAAGACTTGAAATCAGTTTTGTACCAAATATAAGCTCCTGTCATGCTCAAATATCATGAATGGGGTACCGTTGAATTCAAAATTTCACGGGTGGATAGCGAATCGCATTCTCCGCTTTAGTTTTTCTTTCTAAAATAAATAAAGTTGATACAAACATTTTGCTAGACTTCAATACTGGAACGGTGGTAAGTCTGTAGATCGATACAGGACAAATCGGGCTTTGAAGATTTGTGATACGTACAGCAAGACCCTGCGTTTTTAAGCCCAAAAACGTACTATTTTCAAGATAACGCAAGGCAAAGGGTTTGCATCCACACAACCTTACATTAATTGTAGTACTGTCATTGATAACATGCCTCATTTCGTCGACTTGAGGACCCTATGATCAAGAGAGGAGGAGTTTATATTATTTATTGAAGGTGTTTTTTGTCGGCAAGCAACATCATCGTTAATTATTCACCAAATCTCAACATTAAGCCACCAATTTTGAAGGCTTCCTTCTCCTTCAGGCAGGCAAAATAGTCCTGTCAATCCGAAAATTCAGGCAAAAAAGTTATGAAAGAAAAGAAACTTAATTTGCAAATAACTAAAAAATTACACACTTTTCCCTGGATTATTCCCATGATTATATAAAACATTACTAAATTATCTACAAAAGGAAAAAAAAATCATTGAAATCGGACAATTTTTAGCTAAGATACAGCTTATTGAAATTTGTAAACATGTTGGTTCCAAACATTAAATTTTAAATTAATGTTTGTATCCTCTGTCGGTTATATTTATTGATAAAGTAACTATTGATTTCTTTATCTTATGATACGTTGCATTATTTTATTTGTTTATTAATTTGGCATTTGATCACTTAACAATATGCTGTGTGAATTTTTCGCACGGGCCTACTATATATAATAATAGCATTTTATTGGATTTGCCATTTTATTTAGATTTGGTATTATATTATTATAAAATAATAATATTATAATATATAGTATTTATTTTGACCTCACCCCCAACTAACTCCTTTTCAAATTTCTTTTATAAAGAAAGAGGCACATTTGTGGATATTAAAAATAGAATATCAAAAAAACATAAAATTTCAAAAAGATAAAATTAAAAAAAAAAGAACAAGTCACCTCCTGACAACTCCTTAAGAACAAGCCATCACCTAACTTCATAATGTTAGCTTTATGGACAGCAGTCACTTTCTTACGGCCATTTTTAGTAGCATAATCAAACGCAAACTTGGCTATCCTTTCTGATTTATCAGCTGTTACAATTTTCAAGCATTCTACAACTCCCTAAAAAAAATAATAATAAAAGATTATAATTGAAAAATGAAATACTTATAAGTAATTTATAACTAAATTTTGTTTCATTTTTAAAGGACATAAAAATTTTCATTCATAGGGACAAGATAAATTAATAACAATAAAATAAACAAAAAATTAACAAATGAAGTATTCACAAGAGAAAAATAAATGAACAAAATCATCAAAACCATACATATTTATGGTGTTCATATAAACATAAAAAAAGTATAAATTTGAAAACTCATAACGAAGAACAGACACTTCTGAGTAGTTCAGAAGACCATCAAATTTTGGGGACTTTCACAGTTTACAATACTGTAGTTTATATGATAGACAGTTTATAAGGCCTGTAGTCACATATCTGTAGTCAGACACGGCTCCTGAATTGTTGGGAGCATAAGATATGCCTTAAAATATTTGGCTCTATTTGAGAAAGAACAGTGTATGAAGAATCCAAAGAAATGTAAAACTTTTTTTTTGTTCTCGCCTTTAGGCAATATGGGGTTTTCCTGGGCCAGGGGGTGAGTGTGGGGCATTAATACAAGAGTTAAAAACTCTCTTGGCACTAGGATGCGAACTCGTATCACTATTTTATCATTCATAACTTCAGTTATCAGGTTGCCAGGCAACGCAAGAATAGCCTGCTTCATCACCCCGCCCCTGAGGAATGTTAAAACTTTATTTCTTCTTTTATTTTGCTCCTCTTCCTTGCCTTTGACCAGGGGAGAAGGCGGGGAATTAAGACAAGTAAAAACTCCCACCGGGATTTGAAATCATAATTATTTATTATCTCAAATTCGGTTATTAGATTTCTGGGCAACGCACGGTGCTGTGTACGCTCGTTAGCCCGCTCGGTCATCCCGGCCCAAGGAATGTCAAATTAAAACCTAGTATGCTGAGCTTGACTTTGTGGCATTTATCGGATGAGCTCAGCTAAGATGGCTGTGCCATGTTGAAAAGATGTCCTCTGGAAGATAGCTCTGAAAGAACATGTATGGGAGGAAGGTGTTTAGAACTGGCAGAAGAGAATTTCAAGGAGTGCTTAACTGACTTGGCGTTTCAAGGTGAAGGAGCCATGCTTGGGACAGAAAAGAGTACAAGTCAACATTAAGAAGGCCATGGATCTCAAAGAACAAAAGAGTCTGATAATAATAATAAACAAAACTAATATGATAAATCTTTGATTGATGAAAGAAAAAAATTAATGACTTTTACAACTTGGTTTTGTGAAGATTCACCAAATATTTTAAGATTCCTACAAATAAATTTAAACCTTACTAAATGAGATAGCTTGGAAACTTTATGAGAATTAAATCTGATGGTATAAAGGTTTGCTTCAACCTTTAGTCAAATAGATTAACTAGTCATTTCAGAAGAGGTCACTAATAAATTTAACTAAAAGCAATAAAATTTTTAAGTATTTTAGATTATAAAATAATCTTTCCCAACAAATGTTTAAGAAAAGCACGTTATATATTACTAAGAGCAAAAATCAAAATCATTCTAAGCATACCTTAACACTTTCATGTTCAAGAGCTGAATATTCACCTTCGGTTTGTTCACGAATGATTACAGCATCAATATTGTCATGCCTAAGTTTCAAACCCGGAAGAGTTTTGACATGTACTACATTCGCATAAAGGTCAAGAGATCTACGAAGTTTCATATTTAATGTTTGAAGTTCACCAGTTCGTGAATAATCAGGAGTTGCAAGGGCACCCTAAAATACAAAAACTATTGTTAAATAAGTAGATTACGGCAGTAAAATAAATTATATTTTTGGTATCACTGACCTTTAAACAAATTCCATTACGCTGAATTGAACCAGAAACAACATCCAATGGTGCACTCATACTAGCATGGACTTCGGAAAAGAAAAATGTTTCAAAGTCCACTGGAACCCCGGCAGCCTAAAAAGAAAATATAAAAATTAAGAAAGAACAAAACTAATCAAATTAAACAGAATTTCAAAATCTCTATCTTAAAAACTGTTGAACCTAAATTTACTTTGAGTAACTCTTACGAATTACCATGGCTCCAAAGAGAGATAATGAAAAACAATAAATTGAAATGAATAGGAAAAAAAGTATTAAATCATTTTAGCATACAAGAGACTGGTTTGTAACAGTTGAAATTGATGGGACACAGTATTGTTACCCTTTTTAAAACAATTGAAATCTTCAGATAAACAATCTAAGACGATTCAATCCGGAAAAAAATGTTCAATTATCCAACCTCACTTAATTTCAAATGCTTTATGTTACAGTAAATATTTGACACAAAATGTAGAGTATAAAAAGCACTCCAGTTTCAGCAACTGATGGCAGAGATATAGCAAACTCATAGATAAATTGATAAATAAACGTGTCACAAAAATCAGAAAAAATAGAGTAACAATAAAGTTATTAATAATAAATGAAACGTTTTCAACATGAGCTAAATAAACACAATACCTTAAAAACTTCTGTTACGCAATACATCATTTCTGGTCCAACTCCGTCTCCCGGTATTACAGTACATTTTGTTCTTCCTTCTGGTCTAGCGACAGACTGTGAATACTGATTTCCATAAACATAAAAAGAAATCAGCAAATTCAAATAAAAAATAAAACAGTAATAGTGGAAACTTAAAATACCTCTGAATTAACTGGGAAATTTGTATGGATGGAATTGCACTGTTGAGATGTTAATACTGCACATGGCTGTAAAATCTTTTAAAGAAAAATATTAAACAAAAATAAATAGAAGGTAACTATAACAAATATTAAACAAAAATAAATAGAAGGTAACTATAACGAAAAGTACAATAACGATACGGAATCACATACAATCAAACGAATTAAACAATTCCATAACACAATGAAACATTAAGACTGATTGAAAATAAATAAACCAAAATAAATCATAGTAAAAATAACGAAATACCTTAGAAAGTATCTGCTGAAAATTTTTTCTTATCAGAGCCATGTTCAAGAACTATTTCGTTGATAGCAAGATTAAATATGCTTTGAAATGAAGCAACCAATGTGAGTGAAAATTCATTTATTAATAAAAATGTTTTATTAACAAATTAAAATAGACCAATATATATAATAAAAATTTTTATCGATAAATATCTACATAAACTAAAATCACTTAAATATTTGAAAATTTATGTTGGCATTCGTGTCACATATTTTTGGAACAGCTGTTCTTTTGGTCTAACCTCCCAACTGAACTTTTTCGACTAGGGTTTAGTCGCAATGTCTTTTTTCAATTTTTTCTCTCAAGTTGTGCCTTCTGTCAAGGCCCAAGATGACGAAGAAGAGCTGGTAGATCCGCAAGTGGTCCTCAAGGAGCAATGTGGTGAGAAATGCTCGAATTATAAAGATAAATTAGACTCTTGTAATGGAAGAGTTAGCTCAAGATCACAGACCACCGAAACTTGCTTTGAAGAACTCATTGACTTCGTTCATTGTGTTGATCACTGCGTAGCCAAAGACATATTTTCCAAGCTGAAGTGAATGTTTCTAAAAAGGATTGTTTTTAAATTTGTAGCTTTAATTGTTAGTCATATGTACATATAATTCTGTGTTTTAAGTTAAACAATTGTTGAAATAATAAATTCATTAGCTCAGCTGAGTTATTGTTTATTTTATTATAGTTTCTTAGTATGCAGATACCTCAATATATATTTTTTATGTATATAACAGTTTATTTAATACTAACTCATCTGTCATTCTATCTCTAAGTGGCTTTGGATCCTGTATTGTCCTTCTGATGTTTATCTGAGGTGCCCACCATCTTCTCTCTTTATTTTTTTTACTATTCTCTTGAGGATAGTCTAGACTTGGAGGTCTGATTTCTTCCCTGCCCCACCATGTTCCTTCTAAATTGGTTTCAAGCAATGATCCTTGATCGACTGTTGGCACAGTACTTACCCTCTCTTTAACTATATTCGTGCCTTTATGTTTCTTGCTGTAAAAGTTATCATAGATTACTAATATTAATGAGCCTATGCTTACAAGTAAAGCTTTTTTCGAAAACAGAACTAGAGTAAAAAGTGCGAGAAGTGTAAGTTTTGCTACAGGCAAAAAATTAGCAACTTTAGTTAAAAGACCTAGAAGCAAAGGCATGATGTACTTAAACGCTTTTTTCTTTAATATTCTTCGCTTTTTTAGCCCTGGTATTTTATGTGGTCTTTTGTAATTAAATAGTTCTTGAAGGTTGCTTTGTGGACCTGGAATAAAATAAAACAATAACAATTAGCTTATTATTTGTATAGAAGAAGGAGTTGGTGGGGGGGGTGCGTTCAAATAAATAATAACAGGGGGTTGCCTCAGGCACTGTATGAAATAATAATTTCCTGCAGTGCCTGATGACCTGCAAGGTGGGTTGAAATGTAGGCGAAACAATGAGAAATAATATTTTTTTAAAATTTAGTATTTGATCGCACCCACTGACCTACTCATATTATAACACGGTCAGTTATATCTACATTATTATTTGTATAATTTAGTTTTGTTTTACATTAACGGTATTCTATTTATTCTTGTAATTATATTGCATTTTATATTTAGGATCTTAATCATTATTCATGCTTATTAAAATTTATGAATAGCTAATTTTATATTTCTTACTTATTTCTAGTATTCTATTAATTTATGAATAGCTAATTTTATATTTCTTACTTATTTCTAGTATTCTACAAAGTGTGTCTATTAAATAATAAGACTGACGTAAAACATTATGCGATTTCATACATATTTACTTATCTTCGATTTACATCCCTCCATACTAATCTTCCATTATTTCAAATAGTGCTGGAAATCCTCCACTAGCTGCTTCAGGACGTAAGTGGCTTTCTCTTTTTGCAAGCTGTCATAATTTTGCTTAAAAGTTTGACTCTTAGGAAGATAGTCAAAGTGCATATTCCCATGAATATCAAGCAAAACAATCTGCTTTGAATTTGGATTTGCTAATTAGGGTTTTTTTTGGATCCTGGTGAAGTTGAGCTTTTCCAGTGCTTTAAGAATCATAGGGAAAAAAACATGATTTATCTGCATTAAAAGGGTTTGAAGGAGAAACCAGCACACACCCAGATGGACAGAAAAAGACCTCCAGCACTCTTTGAGACAATGAAAGATTGACATGGAGCATTGCACAGATAAAGGAGAAGTGTATTTAGAAGGTGATTATAAATAAATATGTATCAAATCAAAGTAAATAAATCAAAATGTTTTATAGCATCAGTCTTGTTATTTAATAATTACACATCAAATGGGTTGGGGTTGCCAAGAGGGACAATGTGAGTGCGAAACACATTATGTTTCCTGGCAACCCAAATTGAAGATAATTAAATAAAATAAATATAAGTTTGCGTCCCATTGCGCACGGGAGCTTTTAACTCTGGAGATGGGTAAATAGTCAATTATATGGATGAAACAAAATTTTCAGGACTTCCAAAAATGTGGGTCATCGTTTGAAAGTTGAGTTCTTGTCTCGATTTCCAATGCATAGCCCTGACCCAATTTTGACCAATGACCCATGTTTGAGTCGAAATGTCGGCTAATCTAATAAATATATCTTGACTAAAAATTTTGTTTCATCCTTTTAACTCTGGTATTAATCTCTGACCAGAAAACCCCGTATAGCCTAGAAAAGGGGAGGACAAAAAAAAAGTCACATCTAAGATTACTTTTGTTAAAACTATTTACTTCTATTTCATTTGCAATAATTTAGGAGGTTTCTCAATTAGTGAGGCATTTGGCCCTTATTCTTCTGATCCCCCTTTAGGAAAATAATTACTAATTCTGTTATATTAGTTTTGGATCGATCCTCTTTTTTGATAAACCCAAGGCACACAGTCTCTATGGAGTCAGTTTCCCTTAATTGGAAAAATAGTCTGTAGTTGTTAAAGTTTCTTGGTTTAAATACATAAGGGTGTTGATCTCATCTATCTTTTATTTTATTATTAGCTTGAAATAGAACTAATAGATCCTTCGCTATTAAATTTGGTGATCCCAAGATCTATGTGAGAATATGGTTGTCCAACAATTCCACAAACCATGGTTGTGTCATTCCTAATGATTCCCATTTCTGTCAGTATAGAGAATCAATTATTCCCAAACTGATAGACAATAATTATGAGTAAAATATCCTATAATTTTTTTTTTTTAATTATTCAAAGTCCAATTGATTCTTACAGGGTTGTAACTTTTTAGATAAAATGGCCAAAAATGATAATATTTTTATAAATTTTTAGAATAGATATAGCTATAAACATGTGATTTTTTAAATTGATTTGTATGCCTTGGTTTCAAGCCAAGCTTGTTGAACATCATGAGGACCAATGGATTTTGTGAAATCGACACAATTGATGGCGATGGATATTTAGCTCTCTTGTCTAGAAGGGTAGTTAGTAACTTGTTAAACAATGTCTCTTTGACCTTTATTGGTTGTATTTTATGGTGTTTTCTTTTTATTTTATTTATTTAATGAAATTTACAACTAATAAAAATGCACACATTAGAAATCATGACATGAACAGACTTGAAGAGATACTGCCCAGTGGTAGCACTCCCTATTTAATTCTAGGTGAGAAGATCACGAGGCCATCTTCTTTTCAGATGCCTAGGGGGATTATCAGGAATCAAGGAAGAAGCAGGGCTGGAAATAAGTGGATTCGGATAGGTCTGGAGTTTATCATGAAAGGATAGGTATCTGACTCAAGCTAAATCAGCGGCATATGAAACATTAAGGTCTTTATGAATGGTTTTATTTGTGACAAAATATAGGGTATTAAGGATTTTGGATTGTAAGGATTGGATACGATAGGAATTCGATGGTTTGGTAGTGCACCAAAGCTCAACTCCGTATGTCCACATAGGTCTTATTATGGTTAAGTAGATGAGTCTTTTGTATTTAATTGAAAGTTTAGAGCGTTTGTCCAGTAAGTGTTGGAGCAGTCAGATTTTATGGTGTTAAACTGAATAAACAACAAAGGGATTAGGATGTATAATCTGGAATTAGGTAAAAAAAAATAAACCTCAGATCTATGTGTTATTCATCGAACTAGACTTGTGTGCCAAACTTTCTATTGTTAACCATTGATCGACATTCTAACTGTACTATTAGGTTGAGGAGTTAAGATCCATTCCTTCTACCACCTGTCAATGTGGCATCTCCAGTAGAATATCCCTTTTGTCCTTAAAGTGAGGTGTTGGTTCAAAGACATAGTGATCTGCATGGGAAAGTTCTCTATCGAACATGTTCTGCTGAGCTTATTTTAAATATCTATTGTTTGTATAAAAACACCCACAGAATTTAAGTTACTCATCACTAGATTATTTTAGTTTAGTGAATGACAGTATTAATATATGATGTTCATATATTAATATTGTTGGTTAGAACTTCAATTCTGTGTGTAATGATATAACACATTTGATCCTTAGTCCTCTATTAATTTTTCACACTAAACGTTTCAGCCCTTTAGGCTATTTTCAAGAGAAAAAAGCTTACTTCATAAAATAACATTGGTAAAATCATTTCAACTAATGTCTCAACCATTTAAAAAATCCCAATTGATTAATTTAAAATTAGCCCAAATTATATTTAAAATTTTATTTTATTAAGTGAAAATGACCTAAATAGCTGAAATGTTGGGTTTAACGAAAAAATAATGTAGGAGTAAAGATCGAATGTGTTTTATATTTATAAATATTAATTAAAATGAATAAATGCCTAAATCACAATAATAGTAACAGGTCAAAATTATTTTTGATTCCTTTAAAATAACTTTTGTGCACTAGCGGATCCAGGATTTAATTTTTGGGAGAGCTTCAGCCCGAAAACTTTTATATATATATATATATAACGATAATTAATTTGAAAAAAAAAAAAAGAAATTAACTACCTATAGAAGTGGTTCTTAAAGTCCTATTAAATTTAATTACATGAACAAGAATATTTTAAGAGATAGTTTTTAATACTTTTTTCTGTAAAACATGATTATATTTCACCATTTTGGGGGGGCTTCAGCCTGAAAGCTCCCTCACCCTCCTGTAGATTAATAAACCTTTCATGATTGGAATGATGATGCATGAAAAACGATGAACCAAATCGTAAAAATTATTATCGTAGAGGTAATTTATTTATACAACCATGTTTTTTACACATATTTATTATAACATAAAATATTTAAATATTCATAATTACCTGTACCAAAGTAATGATTTACTGGATAGACGGGCCTCAACTCTCCTGTCAGTTGATCATTTCTTCCATGGACATCATATTCTTCAGTGCTACTGTCATATTCATAAATTTCTTCATTTTTTGTAATCGGAACAAATACAATAAGTATAAAACATAGGCAGACACCAAAGAATACTTTTAGCATGGCAGGACCTTCTGCTTGAAACATTTCCTTCATACTAAGGGGTAAAGGTAATTAGGGACAGAACACCCTCTTCCTGATGACAATAGGAACACTTCTGTCGAGGGTCAGTGCTTATGACATCTATGATTAAAGAAAAAATTGTCAGTACAGATATTATCTTACATCTTATCTATAGGTACATCACTGTAATACAGTTATATGAAACTCGCACATTTGAAGCCAAAATGTCAGTTAGCAAAT